TAACTTTGCTTTCTAGCCTGCTTGAATAATGGGGGAGATAAACTTAGCTGTCTGACCTTGTAGGCCAGAGACTAGATATACCCAATGCCATGCCAGGTGCATTTTTTAATTGGATAGAACTGTGTAGTTTTCAAGGCCGCCACTAGCAAGCACACAAAGGGCTGGCTCTTCTATAAAAAGGGAAGTTCTGCTTATAGGTTTGCTTACAATTTGGATTCATTTCCCTAAGCCCACCGCGGTGAATAAAGTGTAACTCCAAGCTCTCAGAGCGCTGTTTGGTTCTTGTCCGGTTTTTCTGTAACACTCATAAGAGAAATACAGGATGAAAAACAAAGTGAATTCAGAGACAGAGAGATTGGAATTATGTAGCCACAAGCCAGGAAACTCCTGGAGTCACCAGAAGCTGGGAAAACAAAGACAGACTCTCCCTTAAGGCCTTCAAAATTGCTGACACCTGATTCATCCAAAACTGTGAGAAAATGGGTTTCTGTCATGGTGATTTGTTACCGCAGCCCTGCAAAACCAATACTATGCCTTCACTCACCCACCCCCAAGTTGAAGGTGTCTTTTTTTGCAGAAAAATTAAATTTATGTGAAATGTTAAATTACTATTTACCCCTCCCACCATCACTACCAAACCAGAAATACAGGGTGTCCCCCAAAAATGTATATACACTGCAACAGCAGATAGCTCAATTTTGAAAAGGAAATGTATTTTAGTAAACACTGCCTTTATAATTATTCAAAGTGTGTGTATACATTTTGGGGGGGACACCCTATATATAACTTGTTTGGGATAAAACACCAGCACGGTTAAAACAATAGGTCATTTAAAAATTAAACTTACCCTGTAAGTGACTTCTGACACACTTCCAGCTGTTCGTGTAAGTGAGGCAACAGCTGCCCCATGGTTTCATCGCCCACACAGCAGCTGATCACATTGGGGTTCTCATGAGCGCGCTGCATTATCTTGATCCATGACTTGTCAATATTCTGGAAACGTTTTGCTTCCTAAAAACAAATCCACAGCCAGTCAAAATCAGCATTTAGAAACTTGAATAAAGCAAGTATTCACTTTGGAATTTTCTATAGTTCTTCAAATCAGCCTCTATTAGTCTCAGGCTACATAATTTAAAGGGGCAATTCCTTTTCATTTGAATTGATTCTGAACAACAAAAACCCCAAAGTCATAAAACTGCTTATTGAAATACTGCTTCATCACAACAGAGTTGATCACTTGTTTCCTTCTTTTTAATACGTTTTTCAAAGTACCACGTGATTGTTTTGCAAAGCTATCAACTTCAAGCTCAAATCTAGTCTTTCAGCGCTCCTGGTGTTTTGGTTTGATAAGAAAACTGAAAAAGTGTGAAAATAATTTGATCTCAGGATCCTTGGAATAATTACAGCTCAATAATACCCCAGGAAACAGAAAGAAGAAAACAGTAAAAACCCAAAACAAAGCTTCATTTACATTTTTTGCAAATTAAATTTTTCTATTTATGATGGATGGCAGTAAACTTTGCATTCAATTGTGAAAATACCTCTAGAAATTGGCATAATCTTGCCTATTTTAAAACTTTTAAGTGCATTTTTTAGGATGCAACTTTCTGATTAAAAAAGATTTGTGTTTTTAAAATGTATTATGTAATGAATGAAATCTATCATTTTCAAAACTCTTTTATCCTTGATTTTTTAAAAAATATATTTTATTGATTTTTTTACAGAGAGGGAGAGGGATAGAGAGTTAGAAACATAGATGAGAAAGAAACATCGATCAGCTGCCTCCTGCACACCCCCTACTGGGGATGTGCCCACAACCAAGGTACATGCCCTTGACTGGAATCGAACCTGAGACCCTTCAGTCCGCAGGCCAACGCTCTATCCATTGAGCCAAACCAGTTAGGGCTATCCTTGATTTTTAATCTGTATAGATCCTGCTTACAGATGCGGAAATTCAGAAAAAGGGAAATTACCTTCACAGAATAGCACTATTAGTGAGTTATTGGCATTTATTTAAAAGGTTCCAATCAAGCTGTTTTAACAATTTTGTTACATGCTTCTAAGGCGAAATTTCCTTGCCCCCTGGTATATTTCTGAACTACCATGAGCCAACTTACTGATAGTTCATTGCACTTACAGAATACAGATTAATTTTAATTTTATTCTCAGTGGGATAGGATATTAATTCTTGGGAGAGATGAGCTGCTATAATTTAACAGTACCACACTTGAAGGCACCTCACATCCTCAAACAACCTGGAGAGTTCTCACTGTTGGAAAATATGTGAATTTCTTCTTTCTACTCATGTAAATCAAAGGTCACTTTTAAAAAATTGTTTTGTAAAGGGCCAGATTGCAAATATTACAGGCTTTGCAGGCCATATAGTCTCTGTTATAAATACTCAACCCTGCTTTTGTAATGCTAAAGCCTGTAAACAGAACATAAACAAATGGACATGTCTGTGTTCCAATAAAACTTTATTTACAAAAACAGGCAAATGAGCTATAGTTTGCCAGCCCCTGGTGAATAACCAAGCCATGACTTTTACAGAGACACGTAGACAACACACACCAAATTATTCTAGCAGAGTTACAAAATCCACATTTACCTGAGGCAGCTGTTTGGCAATATCTCCACCTACGAAGACAGCTTCAAGATAAACCCAAAGGTTCTGGACTACCAGCCACTCTTCAATTATGTCTGAGGAAGTGGACAATTTATACACCCAGTTCTGTATATTTTTTTTAAATGGAGCATTATATCTAAAAAGAGTGGGAAAACATTACATTTCAATGATGACTGAGACAGCAGTATGGCCTAACAAAGTAAATTATAGGAGAAATATTCCTTCGGAAACTGTTAGGCCTGTGGGGCAATACGATCCTTAAAGGCCACAGGAGGACAAAGAGCAGGAAAACCTTGCTGGACCAGGAATCATAGCACATAAGGAGTTGAAACTGTCCTAAAGACCCCTAGTCGCACATCTGCATGCCATCTGCATTCCAAGCGCACCAGCTCAGGCACCAGTCCCACAGAGGACCCAGCACAGATATAGCCACGCTCCACCATAAAAAAAGTGCAAAGTGGTAAGCGCCAAGCCCCTAATGGTATATTCCTCTCATGTGTGGCCAGCATGCTTTTCCTGGACCATTGGATGAATATTTGAGCAGGTTTAGCCAAGGAGGGCAATGATGACAAATCAAAAAAATGAAAGAGAAAGAACATAAAGGGAAGAAGTCTTGTCAGTGGGGAATCAAGATGTTCAAGATATAAGCTGCTGCTCAGCCAGCTGGTGTGGCTCAGTGGTTGAGCATCAGCCTATGAACCAGAAGGTCACAGTTCAATTCCCAGTCAAGGCACATGCCTGGGTTGCAGGCTGGATATTCCCAGTGTGGGGAGTGCAGGAGGCAGCTGATCAGTGATTCTCTCTCATCATTTATGTTTCTATCTCTCTCTCCCTCTCCCTTCCTCTTTGAAATCAATTTAAAAAAGAGAGAGAGAGATAAACTGCTAATTTGAGGGAGAATAATTATGGGGACCATCAGAAAAAATAGGAAGGGAAGATGGGTATCATGAAAGGGAGATGGAGGCCATGATTATTAAGGAGGAAAGGTAGTTCATGGAGAGACAGATAAGAGTCAGCACTCTAGGTCAGAATATCATGCTATGCTGCAACTGCGAAACCGGGCTTTTTATACCCCTAATTACCAAAATAAAATTATAAAAAGTAACCCCAAAGTATAAAATTACCTGTTGCTTAGTAAGGAACCTAAGACCATTAAGCTGTCCTCCATCAAGGTGATGATTTCTGCTGACTCACTTCCTTTGAGTAGAAGCTCTCCCTTTCCCTTAAACGCTGCGAAGCTCAGGTTCTGGTTGGTCCAGTTGTCAGTAACCTGTGCCAGCTTGGCTTCGATATCCTTCTCCTTGATGGCAGAGATGCAGATGTCCTTCGGAGAGAAACCCAAGAATGTGTCTCAGCATCCCCATCACAGACTAAGTGCCCTGCAAAACCGCCGAACTTTTTAGCCTGGACCTGGAAGTCACTTAGTCATTGTATGGCCAAGAAATCTGAGGCGCAAGATCCTTGCGTTACAAGTTCAAACTAGAACCTTCTGAGACTCCGACTGCTAATTGTTTTACTTTACCACACACGTAAAATGATGAAACTTAAATCATCATTTTTCTTGATTATATTTTAACTGGAGTTTTGGGGCCAAAATTGAGATCATCACAGCTGCTCTATCTCAGCAACTTGCTCGGAGAAAAAAGAGAATATATGTGAGAGTCTTGTGAACTCTTTAAAGTAACATTTAAACACTGCTACCTTCCTGCCTGGTCAGGCCCTAATATGAACATCTCATTTGCTTAAAAGTCAATTCTATTTTTATCTGATGGATTTTCCTGTTTTTCTGGGTATTTAGCTGAAAAACACCATGATGGACCTAGAGGGTATGCTGCTAAGTGAAATAAGTCAGACAGAGGAAAGCAAATACCATATGGTTTCACTAGTATGTGGAGTCTAAAAACAAACAAACAAATAAAAAAAACAACACAAAAATAATGATCAAACAAAACAAAAATAGACTCATAGAAACAGAGACCAAAGGAATTGTTGCTAAAGGTGAGGGGTTGGGGAGATGGGTGAAAAAGGTGAAGGGGAGTATAGTCAAAAATATTGTGACAAATGTGTATGGTGGATGATTACTAGAATTAGTGGGGTGCTCATACTCTAAGGTATAAAAATGTTGAGTCACTATATTGTACACCTGACACTAATGTAACTAATATAATACTGTACACCAGTGATTCCCAAAGTGGGCGCTACCGCCCCCTGGTGGGCGCTGCAGCGATCCAGGGGGGCGGTGATGGCCACAGGTGCATTTGTTTTAACTTTTTTTGTATTACCTTTCTATTCTGAGTTCAATAAATAGTTTCATAATTTCAAACTTCAATGTTTCTAATTTACACCTTTCTTTACTATATTTTACGAAAAAGGTAGAAACATTAATACATATATCTTTCTGTTTAATTGCTATTAAAATTTAAAAAAAATTAATTTCCAGGGGGCGCTGAGTAATATTTTTTCTGGAAAGGGGCGGTAGGCCAAATAAGTTTGGGAACCACTGGTCTAGAGAATGTGCCAGACGCCACACTGTCACCAGTAGGAGATGCCCCCTATGTGAAAATAAACCAAGTGTGTCTCTATTATTAACTGACCCCTTCTCCACTGTCTTCTTCCTAAACAAAAATATTGCTGCTGCCAGCCTACCTTTTAACAGGTAGAGGGCTCCCTCCTGTGGGCAAGTAGCTGAAACAGTTTCCATGGCAACAAACTCCAAATCCTGACATCCAACACTGGTTGAGAAACCTCAAAATTATATTAGAAGAAAATAGAATCTGAGAAATAGTAAAGTGGACCTGAGAAATAGTAAAGTGAACAATGATGATAGAGACTTCCAAAATATCAACAGAATAATTGCTAGAGGAAAGAGGAAAAAAAACACGGGATCAGATAACATGCTCAACAATTAGATAATGGGATTGGAATGGAAGGAGAGAAGGGAAGAGTGTGGTGACATGTTAACATAAATATGTCATAAAATCTGTAACTGTGACACATTCAGTCACCAAAACACATAATCATACATTTTTAGTAATATGAAAAAAGTAATTTTAATGAATATATTAAAGCTTTAAATAATTACTAGGATTTGTATAATGCTCTATAGGTTATGGACCACTGTTTCATGCTAATCCATCATATTTCCTCACTTAAATCCAGAAGAACATATTCTTATTAGTTTTGTCATTGATGTTGTCATCATTGTACTCATTTACCTAATAGGACTAAGGCATTTAAAAATAATAGCAGTTTCTGTTATAAAATGTCATAACAAGTAATTATTATGTTCCTACTATGTGTCAGGCATTGTGCTCAAAAAGTTGCTAGATTATTTAAATCTTTATGACAAGCTAATAAAATATAGCAAGTGAAAAGAGTCACAATAGAGAGGCATGTTTGGCATGTTTGATTGACATCCAGCAAGGAGATCTGTGAGTAGGAGTGAAGATTGGATGTGTAACAGGGAAATGAAATCAAAGAAGTAACAAGGGTTTAAAACAAGTAGGGCCTTATAGGCCACTGTAAAGTCTTCACTTCCCTATGAAGAAGTGTGGCATGATATGATGTACATTTAAAAAAAGACTTCCCTCTGCTACATGGAAAATAAATTGTAGGCATCAAATATAGAAACAAGAAATCAGCCCTGCTCTGAGCCCGACCAGGGGCTGCACCTAGGGATTGGGCCTGCCCTCTGCCACCCAGGAGCAGGCCTAAGCCAGCAGGTCGTTATCTCCTGAGGGGTCCCAGACTGCAAGAGGGCACAGGCCAGGCTGAGGGACCCCCCCTCTCCCCCCCGAGTGCACAAATTTTTGTGCACCGGGCCTCTAGTAAATAAATAAATGCAACAGAGTACACATTCTTCTCAAGTGCACATGAAACATTCTTCAGGACAAATCACAAAAAAACAAGTTCTAATAAGTTTAAGAAGACTGAAATCATGTCAGGCATCTTTTCTAACTATAATATATGAAACTAGAAATTAATGGCAAGAAAAAATGGGAAGAATCACAAATATGTGGAGATTAAACAATATGCTACTGAACAACCAATGGATCAAAGGAGAAATAAAAAAAAATCAAAATATACCTTGAGTCAAATGAAAATGGAAATACAACATACCAAAAGTTGTGGGATGCAGCAAAACCAGTTCTAAGAGGGAAGTTCATAACGACAATTGCTTGCATTAAGAAACAAGGGAGATCTCAAATTAACAACGTAACTTTAAACTTCAAGGAAGTAGAAAAAGAAGAACAATCAAAGCCCAAAGTTAGAAGAAGAAAATAACAAAGATCAGAGTGGAAATAAATGAAATAGATACTAAAAAGACAATAGAAAAGATAAAGGATGCTAAGAGCTAGCATTTGAAAAGATAGACAAACCTTTAGCCAGACTCACCAAGAAATAAAGAGAGGGTAACTCAAGTACATAAAATCAGAAATGAAAGAGGAGACGTTACAACTGATACGAATGAATTATGAAGGGTTATAAGGGGGCCACTATGAACAACTGCACAAACATGAATTGCACAGTCTAGAACAAATGAATAAGTTCCTAGAGAATCACCTATAAAGACTTACTTATGAGGAAAGAGTTTGGATCAGTTATCAAAAACCTCCTAACAAACAAAAGTCCAGGACCGGAGGGCTTCACTGGTGAATTCTACCAAATATTTGAAGAAGAATTGATACCAATCATCTCAAAGTCTTCCAAAAAATAGAAGAGGAGGGAACACTTCCAAACTGATTTTATGACCCAGCATTACCCTGATAGAACACCACATAAAATTACAGGCCAATATCCCTGATAAATGTACTAGTGGATGCAAAATCCTCAACAAAATATTAGCAAACCAAAATCAACAACACATGAAAAGGATCATACACCATGGCCAAGTGGGATTCATTCCAAGGATACAAGAATGTTTCACTATCCACAACTCAATCAATAAATTAGAAACATCACATGATCATCTCAATAGATACAGAAAAAGCATTTGAAAAATTTCAACACCTACTCATGATAATACCACTCAATAAAGAGGGTATAGAAGGAAAGTACCTCAACATAATAAAGGCCACATATATGACAAACCCACAACTAATGTCATTCGCAATGGTGAAAAGCTGAAAGCTTTTCTCTAAGATCAGGAACAAGACAAAGATAACACTTTTTTTCAACATAGTACTGGGAGTCTTAGCTGAAGCAGTTACCCAAGTAAGAAATAAAGGCATTGCCCTAACCGGTTTGGCTCAGTGGATGGAGCGTCAGCCTGCGGACTGAAGGGTACCAGGTTCAATTCCAGTCAAGGGCATGTACCTTGGTTGTGGGCATATCCCCAGTAGGGGGTGTGCAGGAGGCAGCTGATCAATGTTTCTCTCTCATTGATGTTTCTAACTCTCTATCCCTCTCCCTTCCTCTCTGTAAAAAAATCAATAAGATATATTTTTTTAAAAAGAAATAAAGGCATCCAAATTGGAAGGGAAGAAGTTAAATTGTCTCTGTTTGCAGGTGACATGCTCTTATATATAGAAAACCCTAAAGATTCCACACACAAAAAAAACTGTTAGAACTAATCCAAGAATTCAGTCAAGTTTCACAATACAAAGTTAATACACAAAATTAGTTGCATTTCTATACACTATTAAAAAAGAAATTAAGAAAACAAACTATCAAAAAAACAAATTAAGAAAACAATTCTATTTACAATTGCATCAAAAACAATAAATTAATAGAGATAAAAAGACATCTACAATTAAAATTATAAGATGTTGAAAGAAGAAATTGAAGAAGAAATAAGTAAATAGACTATCCATGCTCATGGATTAGAAGAATTAATGTAGTTAAAATGCCCACACTACCTACAGATTTCAATGCAATCCCTATCAAAATTCCAATGTCATTTTTTTTACAGAAATAGAATAAACAATCCAAAAATGTATACAAAACTACATAAGGCCCTATATAGACAAGGCAATATTGAGGAGGAAAAATAAACCCAGAGGCATCATGTTTCATGATTGCAAACTATATTACAGAGCTATAGAAATCAAAACAGTATGGTATAGGCATAAAAACAGAAACAGAGATCAATAGGACAGACTATAGAGCCAAGAAATAAAACCATGTGTATATGGTCTATTAATTTATGACAAAGGATCCAGGAATATACAATAGGGAAAGGGCAGTCACTTTAATAAATGATGTTAGGAATACTGAACAGCCACATGCAAAAAAAATGAAAGTGGACCACCATTTTACATCCTACACAAAAATTAACTCAAAATGGATTAAAGACTTCACCTGAAGACCTGAAACCATACAATTCCTAGAAGACAATATAGGTGGTAAGATCCTTGACAGTGGTCTTGGCAGTGATTTTTTTGGATCTGACTTCAGAAGCCAAGACAACAAAAGCAATAATAAAGCAGTGGAACTACATCAAACTAAAAAGTTTCTTCACAGCAAAGAAAACCATCAACAAAATGAAAAATCAACTTACTGAATGGGAGAAAATATTTATAAATCATAAATCTGATTTAAGGGCTGAATATCCAAAATATATAAAGAACTCACATACCTCAATAGTAAAATAAAACAGCAACAACAAACAATTTGATTAGGAAGATGGGCGGAGGATCTGAATAGACACTCCAAGAACACATACACATGTGAAGGTGCTCAACATCACTAGTAATCAGGGAAACGCAAATCAAAACCACAATGAGATATCACCACATACCTGTTAGAATGGCCATCATCACAAATACAAGAAGTTACAACTACTGTTGAGGATGTGGAGAAAAGGGAATCCTTGTGCTCTGTTTGTGGAAATATACTGGTAAATTTGTGCAGCTACAATGGAAACAGTATGGAGATTCTTCAAAAAATTAAAAATAGAACTACCATTGATCCAGTAATTCCACTTCTGGGTATTTATCTGAAGGAAATGAAGACTCTAACTAAAAAATATATCTGCATTCCCACGTTCACTGCAGCATTGTTTACAATAGCCAAGGCATGGAAACAACCTAAGTGTTCATCAGTGAATGAATGGATCAAAAATGTATGGACATTATTCATCCAGAAAAAGGAGAGAAATCCTGCCATTTGTGACAACATAGATGGACCTTGAGGGCATTATGCTAAGTGGAACAAGTCAGACACATCAAGGAACAAATTGGTGAGGGTGACAGGGGAGAGTGAAATGGATGAAGGTGTGATCAAAGGTACAAACTTCCAGTTACAAAATAAATAAGTCCTGGGGGTATAATGTACAGCATGTTGACTGACTCTCTCTATCCTATCTAATAATAGACAAACATGGTAATTGACCATACCTTCGCTACGCCTCCCATTGGCTAATCAGTGTGATATGCAAATTAACCGCCAACAAAGATGGCGGCTAATTTGCATACTGCGGGGGGGAGGGGAAGGAAGCGCGCGAGGCTGCCCGCAGGACCCGGGACCCGGATCTGTGACCCTGTGAGGCAGGGCCGGCAGAGCGCGAGGCTGCCTGTGGGCCCCGGGCCCCGGATCCATGACCTGGCGAGGGAGCAAAGTGACGGAGAAGGGAGAGAGCCCAGGTGGCAGAGAAGGGAGGGAGCCGAGGGTTAAGCGGGGAAGGGAGGGAGCGAGGCAGCGGGCTTTGCTCCCTTCTCTGCTTCGCTCCGTTCTCAGGAAGCCTTATTCTTGCAGGAATCTTCCTGCAACGGGCATCTAGTATATATATAAAAGCCTAAGCAACTGTTACAATTGAACGACCAGACGATTGGAACAACTGGTTGACCAGTCACTATGACATGCACTGACCACCAGGGGGCAGACGCTCAGTGCAGGAGCTGCTCCCTGGTGGTCAGTGTGCTCCCACAGGGGTGTGCCGCTCAGCCAGAAGCCAGGCTCATGGCTGGAGAGTGCAGCTGCGGTGGCAGGAGCCTTTCCTGACTGCGGCAGTGCTACTGGCGCATCAGGCCGGGATGAGTGCAAGCGGCCCGGCACCGGCTTGGGCTCCTCCTGCCTGCCTGCCACTTGGTGCACTGCTACATCCCCCGAGGGGTCCCGAATTGTGAGGGGGTGCAGGCCAAGCTGAGGGCCGCCCCCCCCCCCGCCGTGCACGAATCTGTGCACCAAGCCTCTAGTAGTTAATAATACTCTATTATATATTTGAAAGTTGCTAAGAAGTAGATCTTAAAAGTTCTTATCACAAGAAAATAAATGTGTGATGACCATTTTGCAATATATACATGAGTCATTATGTTGTAAACCTAAATCTAATATAATATTAAATGTCAAATTATATCTCAATTAAAAAAAATACCATGCAAACACTAAGCATAAAACAACAACAAAAAAAGGAATCAATTAAAAATCTTAGAAAAGGAAAATATAATATTTTAAATAGTTAATAGACATAGGGGAAAGTTAGAATTAGGAATCTGGAAGATGTTCTGAGGAATTCACCAGGTAGACAATACAGAAACAAACATATTTTTAAATGGAATTGTAGTTAAGGCATAAGGGAGGACAGACTGCAGAACTCCAAAACTAACATATTTCAAATAATCATATTATCTCCCCGAGTTACAGCATTATTTTGCAAAATAAAGAGATGTTCAAGACCATCCCAAATTTTGAGGGTGCATTATATGGGGTAATTAGTATTCCCTTGAATAAAATGTCTGCTTGTAAAATTTTCATAAAAGAAAAATGAGATATCCTTTAAAGAACCATCTTATAATTTCATGTACCTCGATGTCATCCTTATTTTTAAGGAGTGGTGCTTCCATAATATTTCTAAGACAAAAGGAATCAGATTCCACATCAAATGGGGTTCCAGTTAACTCAGCGATTCGATCCCAGTGTCTCAGCTTCATTGCCTTATTGGTCATCATTTCTAGTAGAGGACACGACTCACTGAAATCATCAATTCTTTTTTTCAGATCCAAAAAAGCCTGCCAATCTTTAAGTCCTTTTGGAAGTTTACGACACCTTTTAGAAAAAAAGAAAAAATATTTCATCTACACATTTCTTTGAAGAAGGTGTTATGTATTTACAGCAATATAACAGAGGACAAACTCATTTGTGATATACCTACAGGATCCTAAGAATATAAGCACTATAAAAATGTAAGTTTAATTCAACTGAAACCCACCTGTTTTGAAATTCCTGCAGTTCTGCATTAATTTTTTCAATGTCAACATCTCCCCAAAGTATTTCGTAATAACCACTAATATTGCCCATTACGGTGTCATACAGTCCATATAACTTCTGCAGCAAATTGAGTTCCTTTCTGAAACCAAATAATTAAGTCATTATATAATGTATATTTAAAAAATAAGTTCCATTATAATATAAGCAGAATTAATCCAATCAAATAAATCATACATTGTGTGTATAAAATCTTATAGATACCAACAGGCATACAACCCTGTCATTTTTCAAACAAAGACTTTATTAAAGCTCCATGCATTAGGTCAAGTTTACTGCTCTGACGTATTCAAAATCATACTATGACCTGACATTGACAAATGGTTTGATCATTATTACCATACCAATCATTGCAAACAATGTGACCCAAACTTGATAACAAGATCACAGCCAAGGCTAAGGTTTTATTTGATTTTTTCTTTCATATGCAAGCTGGATTTTTATGAGAATGTCTGCCTTTAAGTCTGACATTAACCATTACTTTCCTACCAAAAGCTTTCCCTCATGTGCCCAAATGGAGTTCTATCCAAAGCAAGAATAAAAGGAGGGATTCCAGGTCCATGTAAAAGAAAAGTCTTTCTTGTATAAAACACCAAAAATTGACCCCTCAACAGCGTTTTGGATTTTGCCAGGTATTCCTCAACCATTAGTGTACAATAAGGGTCCAATGGACCCAGTTTTCGTTTTTTAGTTCATTGCTTCATTAGCCCTATTTGTAAAAATTAATATTCACAACTGTTATTATTTATTATAGACAATGCAGAGGCTAACGCTAAAATTTGCTTATGTTCTTAACGGAGTAAAATTCATTTTATTTTCCAATTATCATATGGGTACACTGGACCCTTTTCTAAATCTAAGACACATTCTGGAATCCTAGTCTCCTTGTTTTTTCCACTCCTTGTTTCATTTTGCTAATTCATCATCTTAGGAATTATTTTAATTATTAACCACTGATTATTCCCAATTGTGCTAAAATGACTGAAATAGTAAGGAAAGAGGAGAATAATGAAATCTCCTCTAAGGATGATGCAATAGCAGAAAAAAAATCACTATTGCATCAGCCTTCAGGTTTCTTACTTTATTTCTTACTAAATAAAGTATTGCATCATTTTGCAAGAAAGTACCAAAAAAAAAGAACTCTGGAGATACCATTTTTGTAATCTTTTTATTTTTGTTTCTTTACTTTTCATTTAAAAGAGTTAAGAACTTAATTTTTTCATTTTCTACCTAAAACAGCAAAGAGAAAAATATTGACAAAGGAAGATACTTCCACAACATTAAACAGAAAAGAGACAGACCATGAAAGAGACTGTGTAAGTGAAATCTCAGACTGAGTCTTCAGATGATGATAATCTAGATGAGTTTTATTAATCTCAATGATTTAGGAGTGAACGATATATTTCCGAAGAGGCAAGGGCTTCACATGCAATATTTTGCAACAAAAATGTAGACGATATCATCCTGCCAAAAAGGTGTGACAATGTTTTTTCATTATTTATGATGTTTATGTCAGTTTTATTTGATACAAATGTCGAAGGCAGATTTGTATACAAAGAAAATAGATGATACAGAAATTTAAAAAATTCCCTGACTTGATCATTCAAACCTCAAAGTAATGATTTTTGAATGTATATTGCAAGAAGGATGATGATCTGAGTTTTCAACAGACTTGAGTTTTAAAAGTGCAAGGCTCAGAAAAACCCGAGGCGATGAAGAGCTAGAAGCCCGGGAGATGGATCTGCCACCTGGAATCAGTGTTTACGGGACGGGATGCTCCAGGGCCATGCCTGACGGCTGGTGAGCAGCTGGCTGCAGGCAGAACTCGGTCTCCATTCCATGTGTATAGATCTTAAAACCAGGACATTATGGGGGGAAAGTGAGTTTTCACTGCTTAAGTTCTTGTTAAATTTTCTAATAAAATTGCTTTTCACCATCCCTTTATTCTTACTTCTGTAAATTATGCATAAATTACTTAAAAATCTTTTAAAAAAACAAAAAAGGGTCCATTGGTCCAAATGGTGAATAAGAATGGTAATTTTTCCTAGAATACTAAGGGTTAAAATAAAGCACTGAGCCCTGGCCAAGTAGCTCAGTTGGTTCCAATGTCATCCTCATACGCCAAGGTGGAATAACAAATCGATGTTTCTCTCTCTCTCTCTCTCTCTCTCTCTCTCTCCCTCCCTACCTCCCTCTTGCTCTCTCTCAAAAAAATTAATAAATAAAAAAAAAACATTTAAAAAAATAAAACACTGAGTCTCAGTCGGAGTATGGAAAAAATAAAAAGTAGGACCTTTTAAAAAATACAGATTTCCTAGGACCCAGCCCCAGAGATTCTGATAGAGTAAGTCAGGGTCAAGGGCCAGCAGACATATGCAATTCTAACACACTTGGTCACTGAGTTAAGCTTGGTGAATGAGTACTTTCGGAAAAGAATACAAACCATCTACCCTAAATGGCTGAAGCATTAATTTACCTTCAGACAATCTCAGGTCTGTTTTGCCATGACACTTTCATGCTGTGACTTTGAAAGAAGGCAACATAAAGTTCTTTCCTAAAGCCCAGATCCTAGTAAGTTAATACCAAGACAAGGCCCTAATCAGCTCATTTTGCCCTTAAGGAAATTATATTTAAAATTCTATTAAAACATACTTGTTTAAATCCTAGATCCACTGTTTATAATCACTTCAGTTCCTTGGCCTTCAATCTCCATGAATTCTATGTCTGCCCAATTAGGAAGAGCACTTAGCACAAATTCCTTAAGAAGATTGAGAGCTGAGAATGGCTACTCCTTTAAATAAACAAAAGTTACCCAAAATTGCAGTGCTTCCGCACAATCACTGACACTATAAAAAATAGTGAAAAGAAAACAATAAAGCATAAGCTAAACTTGGCCATGAAGACCCAGATTTTTTGCCATGTATTTTCTCCTATTCTAGAACATTCCTTTTGTATATGGAGACTATGTATACAATGGGTCGGGAACAGCCAAGAACAAGGGGAGCATTTAGGAGTGTTCCATGGGTAGCCGCCCTTCTCTACATAATAACGGATTTAATGATGACATGATTCTTCTAATGGACAGTATTTAATTATTTGCTTTTAACATTTATAAAATTTCTAAACTTACCTGACTTTGTGCAAAACCTCATAGTCAGTCACAGGCAATCCAAAAAGTTGTTCACCAGATGAATATGTAACAAACTTTCTCCACAGATCATCAAAATTGGCCTATAAAAGCGTTTTTGAATTGTAGTAAAATATAATTAATTCAGACTCCATTAAAGTAGAATGTATGATAATTGGAATAAAAGCTACATTGAGGTTTATTTAATACGCTCTTTGAAACGACAATTTATGAAGCAAATGAATGTTGATACCAAGCTATGAAAGGAAAAGTTAAGCACTTAAGAAAATTAACTTTCAAGCATTCTAGAAGTCTCCATTTTATATAAAATTGTCTCTTTAATAAATTAAGTGGCCCCCAGAAGACCTATATTTCAAGTTCCCATAAATATGTCTGAAACGCAATTTTTAAAACTGCATTTAAAAACATCCGTAATTCAGGCTTTATCACTAATTTAGATGGGTCACATCTCCTGCAGGGTTCAAATGAGTGAAGTATCCATATAATCCACTCAACCCTATTTTCTCTGTAAGCAACAGAGTCTGTAAAATGAATGATTCCATTTTAACACCATTTGTGATCATTCTAACATTTAAACTGTCAAAGTCAATGCATGTCTTTTGAATTGGAATTTGAATCTCCTATAGTTAGAATGCTAAGTATTAACAGTGTTTAAAACACAAAAGCCAGGAGAAATAGTCCACCTATGACAAGATATGTGTGCGCTACTTCAATGGTGTAACAATAGCAGGAAGGATCCTCAATGCCCAGCCCTGGAAAACACACAGCATCAGACCTCACAATGCTCAGACAGTGCTATAGTTCTGACAGACACATTAGCCTATTTTTCAGGAGCCAAAACAGGAAGGTATGAAGACAGTGGAGGAACTCCAATAAACTCTTGGTTCCTAGAGGGCAAAGGCCATGTTGTTGGGTGTTGTTTTTTTGTTTGGTTTTGTTGTTTTCTTATTGATTTCAGAGAGGAAGGGAGAGGGAGAGAGAAATAGAAACATCAATGATGAGAATCATTGATCAGCTGCCTCCTGCACACCCCCTCCTGGGGATCAAGCCCACAACCCAGGCATGTGCCCTGGCCAGAATCGAACCTGGGAACTTTCAGTCTGCAGGCCAACACTCTATCCACTGAGTCAAAAGGGCCAGAGCAAGACCATGTTTTGTACTCTTTATATTCCTTGGTGGTTAGTATAGTGGGACTATGTGACTCTCAGAAAAGGAGAGATGAAAACTTCAAAGTTAGCATACATTAAAATACTGACGTCTAAAAGCTTGTTCATGTGGTGAAGCAGTGGTTCTCAACCTTGGCTGCACATTAGAATCACCTGGGAATCTTTTTTAAATCCTGATTTCTGGGCCTCATCCTCCAGAAATTCTATTTCTTTGTTATGGGGTGGGGCCACAACATTAGTAACAAAGAAACAGAATTTCTGGAGGATGAGGCCCAGAAATCAGGATTTTAAAAAGATTCCCAAGTGATTCTAATGTGTAGCCAAGGTTGAGAACCACTGTGGTGAAGACTACTGAAGATGCCAATCACTCACCCCTTTTCCATTCAGGTCCCAAATAATTTAAAAAGATCCCCAGTACCAGGCAACTGGGGAACAAAATGCCAGCTTTGTCAACAGGCCAGCCAAGTGCCCAGTAACTCCCGAAATCAGAGTATATAACGCTGCACCGGAGAACACTGGCACCAAGGCCCAATGTGGGGGTCCGGCTTCTTCCCCAGACCGAGATTTGGCAACTGCTTCTTTGGGAGGACAGAGGGCAGCACCTGCTTTGGGGTAAATTGGGCCTGTAGCTCTGACCCCGAGTCACATGTCCAGACAGATGCATGTCCAACAGCCTGCTGGGCTCACACCCCCGAGCAGAGTAAGCAGAACAGAAGATACTTTAAGGCAAGAGAGGGGCCCTTGCATTGTCTTTATTTCAATAAAGTGATCGATCACACCCTAGTCCAAGGGTGACACATTAAAGTCCTAGCTGCTGACCCATAAGTTGGTACAAAGTCTATCTTCAAAATATACCCAGGCTCCACAGCT